CCCAGCTATTTTTTTTTGTTGCAGTTTGGCCAGGGCCAGGTTTGAACCCACCACCCTGGGTATATGGGGGCTGGTACAGGCGCCACCCAAGAATTTTGTTTTTTAAAGAGTTTAGAAATCGGCTCTGTGCCTGTGGCTCAAGTGGCTAAGGCACCAGCCACATAAACCTGAGCTGGTGGTTTCGAATCCAGCCTGGGCCTGCCAAAACAACAATGACGGCTGCAACCAAAAAATAGCTGGGCCCTGTGGCAGACGCCTATAAGTCCCAGCTACTTGGGAGGTAGAGGCAGGAGAATCTCTTGGGCACTCTACCCAGGGGGACAGCTTGAGGCTTTGTCTCAAAAAAAAAAAAAAAAATTTAAAGAATTTAGAAATCTAAATACTTGGGAGTATTAACATCTTAAACCTATTTTAAGGTTTATAGGGAAAAAGAAAGTGCTATGAAAAAATCAGTTCTGTTCCTGTCAATCAAAAACAAAATCAAAAATGTTGAGTAAGGCAGTATAGTTTTAAAATAGATTTCATTTACAATAAAGACCCCTTTGGATTTTATGTATTTTTCTCCTTTAAATGCTTTATTTGTTGTTATTTTTTTCTGAAAGGGGCTCATAAGGCCTGGATATATGTTTTTATTTGTTAACTAGATGCACACAGTAATAAAATCAAAAGGTACAAAAAGTACAGGTCTCAAGCCTTACCTAAAATGTTTGAGACCAGAAGTGTTTCAGATTTTGGATTTGGGAATGTATGTATTATATTTACCAGTTGAGTTGTTGCAGATCAACTGAGCATTGCCTTTATATCAGGGCTCAAAAAGTTTTAGTTTTGGGGTTTGGGATGCTCATCCTATAGTAAAATGGTTTAGCTGAGACTGGAATCAAGTTCCTTTTACATGATTCTTTTCTAGTCTTAAGACTTACAGTATTTGCCTTAAAAGTGAGTTTTGAAACCACTAATTTTTTTCTGTAATGATTAAAATTTAACAAAAGGTAAACCAGGCACTATCATAAGCACTTTATATACATTTTTATTTATACAACAGTTCTAAGAGGGAGATTATAATTTTATTTAATTATTTTTGAAGACAGAGTCTTTGTCACCCTTAGTAGAGTATGGTGGTATCATAGCTCACAGCAACCCCAAGCTCTGGGGCTCCAGTTATCCTCTTGCCTCTATCTCCCACATAGGTGGGATTGCAGGCACCCACCACAATGCCTATTTTTAGAGACCTCACTCTTTGAGCTCAGGCTGGTCTTGAACTCCTCAGCTCAAGCAGTCCATCTGCCTCAGCCTCCCAGATTGCTAGGATTAGAGGCCTGAGCCACCACCCTAGCCTGTCAATTATCATTTTAAATGAGGTAACTGATGCCCAGAGGTTAGCAGTTCAACAAAATGGCAAGTTATTAAGTAGGCAACCGGGGTTCCGTGGGCTGACTTGAGTTCCTGTTCATGAACACATCTGTATTCCTATCTTTGACTTTGGACCCATAATGTAATTTCTTTTAGTTTCCTCACAGGTAGAATGGGGATAATAGATTTTCCTGGGGGTTCTTGTGAAGATATTAGACTACCTAACATGTCTACAAATCATAAGACTTAACATTTTAGAAGTGTATATTAGATGGCTAAATAGCGTCCATGAAAGATGGCCTTATTTTTTCTTATACACTATTTTATTTATTTTTTTTCTTTTTGAGACAGAGTCTCACATTGTCACTCTGGGTAGAGTGACATCATAGCGTCACTATGATGACGCTATGTGGCATCACAGCTCGCAGCAACCTCCAACACTTGGGCTCAAGCAATCCTCTTGCCTCAGTTTTTCTTTTTTCTTTTTTTTTTTTTTTTTGCAATTTTTGGCTGGGGCTGGGTTTGAACCCGCCACCTCCAGCATAAGAGGCCGGCACCCTACTCCTTTGAGCCACAGGTGCCACCCAGTTTTTCTGCTTTCTATCTCGCTTTTTGCTCAGGTTGGTCTTGAACCTGTGAGCTCAAGCAATCTACCCACCTTGGCCTCCCAGAGCACTAGGATTAGAGGTGTGAGCCACCATACCCTACACTGTCTATTTTATTTTATTTTAGGGATAGTGTCACTTTGTCGCACTCGGTAGAGTAATGTGACATCACAGCTCACAGCAACCTCCAGCTCTTGAGCTTAGGTGAATCTCTTGCCTTCAGCCTCCTGAGTAGCTGAGACTACCGGCGCCCGCCACAACGCCCAGCTATTTTTTTGTTGCAGTTTGGCTAGAGCTGGGTTTGAACTTGCTACACTTGGTATATGGGGCTGGCACCCTACTTATGTCGTCTATCTTATTATTTTTTGAGATAGAGTTTATGTCACCCTTGGTAGAGTTCTATGGCATCACAGCTCACAGCAACCTCCAACTCTTGAGCTTAAGCCATTCTCTTTCCCTCAGCCTCTCAAGAAGCTGGAACTGCAGATGCCCACCAAAATGCCCGCTATTTTTGGTTGTAGTTGGCCCTGGTTGTAGTTGGTCCAGGCTGGATTTGAACCCACCAGCTTTGGTGTATGAGGCTGGCTCCCTGGCCACTGAGCTACAAGCACTGAGCCTACACTGTTGCTTAATATTTTTTGGGTGGTGCCTGTGGCTCAAAGGAGTGGGGTGCTGGCCCCATATGCCAGAGGTGGCAGGTTCAAATCTGACCCCGGCCAAAAACTGCAAAAAAAAAAAATAGAAGTCACTTAATATTTTTTAAAAACAACCAAGAATATTACACTTATTTTCTTATGGATTAAAGCTATTAAGGGTCAAATTTCTTCTTTTGGCTAGGCACCTGTGGTTTAAGTGGCTAAGGTGCCAGCCACATACACCTAAGCTGGCTGGTTCGAATCCCACCCGGCCCGCCAAACAGTGATGACAGCTGCAACCAAAAAATAGCCGGGTGTTGCGGTGGGCGCCTGTGGTCCCAGCTACTTGGAAGGCTGAGGCAGGAGACTCGCTTGAGCCCGGGAATTAGAGGTTGCTGTGAGCTGTGATGTCACCACACTCTACCAAGGGTGACAGCTTGAGGCTCTATCTAAAAAAAAAAACCAAAACAAATTTCTTCTTTCGAAAGTCTCACACATACAAGGGCAGACCTAAATGGCCTGTTTCACTGCTGAATACTTAGGGAAGAATTAATACCAACCTTTTTCAAACTCTTGAAAAAAATGAAGGATTGGAAACACTTACTTCCCAACTCATTCTATGGGGTCAGTCAATACTATCCTGATAACCAAAACAAGACAAAGACTTCCCAAGAAAAGAAAACCATAAACCAGCGTTTCCCCCCCCCCTTCTAAAGACAGCATTTCACTATATTGCCCAGGCTAACTGAGGTGATTTTCCTGCCTTTTGAGTAGCTGGGAGTACAGACATATGCCACTGTGCCCAGCTAGACCAGTATCTTTTCTGAAAATAGGTTCAAAAATCTTCACTAAAATGCTAGCAAGGTAAATGTAAGAAAAG